GCAAATTGTCTAACTTACCTCCTCAATTCAAGAAAAAATGCACTTATTTGAAGAAAAAAATGACTTATTCGTATTTAAATTTAAAGTTCAAATTTTTGCAATGTAGAAAAGCTCCAAAATTCTATCTAGATTCCTGTGAGCTATCTATGTCAACATCTGGTAAACAATGTCTGTATTTCGATGATGTAAGCAGCAGCAAAAGATATATTATCATTATAAGCTGAAGTGTTAAAGATTACCAAAGCTAAGTGGAGAGAGGAAGCAGAAATAACTTGGAGCAAAGAGCAAAGCTCTATTTGCAGCAGTTAAAAACAGCAGGTTTTCAAACTCACAGCTGAAATCATGGCTGCTGCTCACAGGGCAGAAATGATTCCTCATTTATTTCTCTAACTCTTGTTCCAACAGGTCAACAGATAAAAGTGATGAATTACATTTTCCATCCATTTCTGCTTTCAGACTGTGTTCTGGCTTCTTTCCTTTTAGATTCTGGTTATTTTTCTGCATCTGTTAGAATAATTATCAGTTTAAGGGCCATTATGATCAGGTTTCTATGGGGGGGGCATCACACAACACCTGAATTAGGACTAAAGACGACCGAAAACAATCCTTCTTCTGGACGATAATAAAGCTTGCTGTGTTTCTTGTGTTCTGTGGGAGTGTCAATGATCCTACTAACCGTCTTTTATTCTTTGCCTGAACTTGTTTTTGGATGCCTGCCCTTTTACCTCAGCAGTTCAGACTTTTCTTTTTGTGCGTTCAGAGCTTATTCTAGTGGCTTTGATTATAAAAATGTGTTTTTATATCTAAATTGGCAAGTGATAGAATATGTTAGAGAATTTAGTTAAGGTGTGACGATTCTTAAAGACTTTAAGATCCACATTATCATTTCTCAGGGCTTTTAAAAGTCCTGTAAAGCTTTTCCACGTTTTTTATTTGACATCTTTTTTACTGAATTTTTAAAGAAAATGTAGAAATGTATGAGTTTGGAAAGGTCTGGAAAACCATTGGTTAAAGACGAAGTTGAAAGATAAGAAGAGGCAAACATTCAGGACCTTTGGACTGTAGGATATTTTAGCAAAGAACGTTTCTGCATTTCTCTGTCTGCATTCTGCACCCCCCCACCACACTGCATTTTATATATTTGTTTATGCTATCAGTCTCACTTCCTCTCAGCAGAGTCAGCTGACAAACAGGACATATTGCAACAGTTTGGATCATGAAGCAGAAGCTGCAGCCGACTGAGGAAACAGTTGCAGACATACTAGAATGAATGCGGCACAAAGAGGCCCTGGACGGACTTACGGTGCCTGTGATAAGATAAGACGTAGTGCAAACACAGCATTGGTCACTGTATGTGTGCGGATGTGTGTGTGTGGGCGTGTGTTCATGGTTAAAACCACCTCAGTGTGGAGCTGAGCCGCTCTGCTGTCAAAGGCTGAGCTGAAGAGTTAAACCTACTGCTGGCAGGAAGTCTCTGCTTGTTGTGTTCATGCTGCACTGTTGCTAAATCCACATCCTCTATTCGCTGCACCCATCCACTATGTATAATACCACTGATAACATGTTTAACTGCACAGCATTCAGAAGTTACACACTATTTTTTGCACTTATTTTCAGCAGCTGTCTAAATAAAGATATCCTGTAATTTTGTTAAATTTAAATCTCAAAGTCATACATGTTTGGAACGAGAAGCAAAGCAATTGTTGTGCAGTTGGCTGCAGTCTACAGCTTTGCCACTAGATGGTGCTAACTACAACAGGCCAGATAGTTTTTTTGTTGTTGTTTTTTTTTTTTTTTTGCTGAAGTTTGCTAACTAACAAACATCATCTGAGAATGACAGGTTACCAAACTGGACCTCACCTCCACTGCTGAATGGTTAATGCTACGTTCAGACCACAAGTAAAAGGAGCAGAGAAAACAAGCGTGCCGCTTCCTTTATGATGCTTGTCCAAGTTTAGTTCTTGCTTCCTTTATGATGCTTGTCCAAGTTTAGTTCTGACGCGTAGCTGAAGCAGCTTTGCTGCTCTGGCTTTGCAGTCGAAAAGTGGGTCTGATGCGCGTTGGGCGGAGCTACCCTATCCTTTCTTTGCCTGTAACAATGGCAGCTATATTTGCTGTGATCAGTGGGTAAAAAGTTGTTTTAATTTGTTTTTAAGTGAGGAAGTCCACCTTAAAACGTCATCTGTGCAGTCAGTTCATCCAGATTACCATCCTGCCTTCAAATATTATTTCTTTGTCGGAGCCGCTCAGACCCCGTCGGTGATCTGTCACAGGGAATTCCCTTCAACAGCTGCCTCATTCACGGTCGCCTCTTCGCCGTTCGTAGCGCCTGTAAGGCGTTTTTCTAAGTGCGTAATCCAAACTGCAGGCACCAGAATAATAAAAGCGAACATGTTTTGCCAGCAGATTTCAGCATTTTAAGCTAATTTAGGCGTTAATAAACTGTTTCAGAGGAGTGATCATAGCGCTCTGCATCAGCAGCGCTGTTTCTATCTCCCTGCCAGCTCCCAGATCAGCTTCTCTGATTGGTTGATGTTGCATGTCCAGCAGCATAAGTAAAAATTTTCCATCTCCAGCAGCTGCTGCTTCTGAAGCACGTCAGATGTTCTGAAGCTCATGACCTGCTGCTCCTGCCGCTCAAAACGTGCGTGACCTTTTGCTGCGCCTTGATGCGCGTCAACCATTGACTTTGCATGGAAACTAGCTGCTCCTGCTGCCTCTGCTGACTGCAGTCTGAACGCAGCATTAGAGTCTGGGCTGCTGTTGCAGTACCTGGACTGTAAACACCACCTTACTGCTCTGAAGGGCACAAAAGTGCATGTACTTCCCTAAAAGGATGAGGAGAGCCCACTCTAAATCATGTCACAGACTCTGCATCAAACATGACACCAAACCTAAAGACTGCATAATTATACCATATATATTTAATGCTCTGAACTTCCATATCAATGTTTTTTTTTTTTATCACTGTTGCACTTTAAGAATTAAAAATGTCCTGAAAACTGTACAAAACGAAAAAAAACATTATATAAACTGTGTGTATACAAGTATCAGTTTGCCTAAATCAGATAATCAAGAGATATTTGTTGTTTAAAGTGTCATTTTTATTTTAGATGACACTTCCTGCTTTAATCTAAAACTTACTCTGAATAAAACAGACATTTTTTTAAAAAAAGTTTATTAAGATTTCCAGCTTTATCTCCATCATCTTCCCTTTATGCCATTTCTTTTCCTGATGTTAAGTATTATAATTTTTTTAATACCATGCACATATTTAAACTTGTAACCATGATCAGTTTATGAGCAGAATGTAAAGGGAGGCTTACACTTCTCCTCTTGTTCTAAGTGGTTGTGATTAACCCACTTGACTTTATTTAATCCGTTTAAACGCATTTAGAAACAGGAACACTGAAGCTTTAGTCGTTTATTTTTACTCACTTTGAAATCACTGAATTGAAAATAAGCAAAACAGTTTGAAGATGCAAAACACCAGTAATACTCTGCAGACTTATAGCATGTCTACCTTCGAGGCTAGGCTTGAAAATGTCCTTTTTGTCAAAGCTTGTAATTAGAGTGGTTCAGGTTATCCTGAGCTTTCTCTTTTGTTTGCTGCTATAGGCTTACTCTGCTGGAGGGCTTTCACTCTATTACACTCTCAGGTTTTGACATTATTTGTTATTATGAGCTTTATCTGGATTGACTCTTTTCAGCTGTGAGGGGGAGTGGGGGGTCTTCATGTTCTCCATCTATAGATGATCCACTTGGCCCTGTCATTTCTCTCTCTCATAGCTAGTGGCTGAGCTTTTACTGTGACTAACTGGATGTGGTCTCTCTCATCTTCCATTTTCTTGGAGCTCTTCTGTTTAGCGTTCTTTCTCTGCAACATTAAGCCTCTAAGGAACCAACCTTTTACTTTTCTGCTAAGTAGAAAGTACTCCTGCATCAAAGCTTAGGTGTTTCGTTTGTATGTCTCTCTGTCTTCTCCATCTGCAAGTCGATCTCAACGCTGAGCCTAATTCTAATGGTCTGGATGGATGGATGATTATTTGTAATGGTAATATAAAAAAATAAAATTAAAACAATATTTCACATCTTAAAATGATTAATCATTTAATTATATGAAATATGGAAATTCTTAATGAAATAATGAAAGTTTTAGAATGTAATTATGCATACACCATTATCTTTCATTATGTTTCTTAAACCTTTATTTACACATTTTGCCAGACATAGATGTTGTGCATAAAGACTGAAAAAATTTGAAAAAGGCAGATTGATGTTTTAATCAAACAAAATATTAGAATGTCATAAATATGTTTAAAGTAAGCAATCAATTAATTTCCATCAAATAGAAAGGTTTATCTGTTTAAATTGCAGTGTATGTTTGTGTAGGTATTTAAAAATGTACAAGTTGCCATTTTGGTTGTTTATTCTCATTTACAAAATTGCTTTAATTTAATTCACAAATACTTTATTAATCCTTAAGGGAAATTAGATGTCACAGTATCTCATGAGTTTGTTTGTTTTTAAATTGTAAGAGTTGATGGAAGCTCCTCTGTAGCATGGATACATGTCTAGCTTTTAAATGTGCATTAAGAGTGTATTTTTATTTTTTCTGAGGTTAGCGGCACTAGAGGCTCGTTTTCTTTACAGTAGGCTGACAGGAAAAGGGGAGAGATATGCAGCAAAGGACCACAGATCAGATCCTCGACTAAAACATACATGGGTCATGGACGCCAACCACTGCTCCACTGAGGCACACCCATTTATCGTTTTAAACTTTCCTAAAAAAAAGTTAAAAACAAACCACCAGACTTTACTATCCAAGTTTGAAGACATTTCTCGTCCAGAAAGCTTTTTCAATTCAAAATGTCTGCAGTAGCGTTGAGTTTAAAACATTGTTATCCTAATAGTTCCTCAATGTGAAATGATTTGATATTTTTATGGTTGTAATATTTCAATGAATGACTCATGTAAATCCACAAAGACAGTCTTGGTGACAAACATATTTATTTAAACTTTTTTTTATTTTGTATACAGCTTGAAGTCCTCAAAGGCCAATCATCTGCAGCCTAATCAGGCCAGCTCCATGCTGATTGGCCCTTTGAGCTCACTCCCACCATTCAGCCATTTGCTTTTATGTAAAAACAACAACACAAAGCCTCATAGACAACATGTCCAAATATCCACAGTAAAAACAAGACATTTCTGATATAAAAGTTTAAAAAAACAACATTAATTCAGCCCAGCTGGTGCTGCTTCCTTTAGTTTCTCCTCAGAAAACAAAATGACACTTTTAGAAGTTTCTGATGGACCCAGTAAAAGCATCCAGTCCTCCAGATTCTGACTCAGTGAGGTGGAAACTTTGTTTTGTTGACAGTAAGCATGAATCAGAACCAACCTGACCGTGTTCAGTCTGCGTCATGGTGAAAGGAAATCACAGAACTGAGCAAAGTCCCTCTGCATGAAGTTCTGGCTCTGCAGCAGGTCGTCCTCAGAGGGGAAGTACTGCATGCTGTCCTCCTGCAGGAACACGCAGGGACTGTCCCGATCCAGCACCAGCAGGGGCCCCGGTGACGTCATCCAGCCGTCCGGGCTGGGGCTGTCCAGAAGGGCCCCTCTGGCGTTCTCCAGGACGCCCAGGTAGGAGTCCATGTCGGTGAGCTCCAGGTCGCTGTCGGAGCTGCAGCCGCTGTCGCTGCCCACCGAGTCGGACCTCAGGTGCTGCATCTGGTACTTCTCCTGCATCAGGAACTGGTTGGTGTTCTGGGGGGCCCGCATCCCCCTGGCTCTGTTCCCTTTGACGTTGACAGGACGCAGGGACAGCGGCGGTCTGTGTGCGTGATGACGTTGCGGGTGCAGGTGGGGGTTGCGTGCCCTCCCGCGCCCCGCCCCCCCCGCCTTCCTCCCCCTGCAGCTTTTGGAGGAGCAGCCGAGCTTCCTGCGGATGCTGGCCTCCCTCACCTGAGCCTCCTTCTCGTCCTGCTGCCTCTGCTGCTGGAAGATCCTCCTGCACATGATCTCTGAGAGCATCTCTGGTCTTTCTCACAGCTGCCTCCCTCCCTGCTCTCCTTCACATCGTCCTCCCCCCGCTCTGTGGCCCTCGGAGCAACAAAGAGAGGCTGGGATTCTCCTTCAGATCACGGATGACCCTCCTCTCTGTCCGAGTCTACCTTTTTACTACTCTCTCTCTTTTCTTCTTGACCTCTGGCTTTGGCTGGTGCATAGCCTGCTCTTCCTCCCCCTGCAGCAGCAGCTTGCCTGCTGATCTGGCTCCCTGTCAGGCCCTCCTCTTTGGCTCTAATATCTCTCCTTCCTCTCTGAATGTTAAATCAGCTCCTCGCAGCTGTGAGCAGTGAGATGCAGGAAGCTGACTGGGCTTTCAGAGAATCTCAGAGTTGATATGGAGCTGGTTCTCCTCAGTTAGAAGTCAGTGGGTGTGATGCACTCTGCTGTGAGCAGCACTGAATGAAGCTCTGCCTCCTCCTCACAGCCAACATAAAGAGAAGGACTGATCCATTCTCCAGCCTGGGGGGGTGGTGCCTCCAGGCAGCTTTGCTCCTTGTTGAAAACGTCAAACATGCCAGATAATTACATTTCTAAGTTTATCTGATGAGAATCAGACATCTGGACCCAGATGTGGACCTGCTGATGGATCGGATGGAGGAAAGTGTTTGTTTTCAGCAGAAAAAGTCTCCCTGCAGCCTGATGGTTCAGTCCAGTTCAGTTATAGCTGTTGTAATCTGATCCTCAGCTGCTGTTCTTACCCCCCCCACAACAACAACAACCAGGCCTTCATCATGGGGCAACATCACTGCAGCAGCATTAATCATTACTGCCTGTTCTGCACATTAAATTACAGTCCAATGGAAATATATCCCCAAACATCAATTACAGCTATATAATAAAAAAACTTTATGGTTATCCTTAAAAAGAGTCACGCTTTGCTGCTAAAATGTGTCGCATATTGAGCCTGAGAGGATTAATAAGAAAGCAGGTCAACTGTTGATCATTGCACATATTTCAGACAAAAGAAGTCTTCCTCAGAACAGAGAGTCTGAGCTCATCCCTGTTCATGCAGCGCCACCATGAGGTTGGAATTTACAGCTTCACTTTAAAAACTGGAGGAAACCACTGGGTGGGTGAGCATGAATAACCGCTCAGACATGTTTATGTTCCTCTGCAGGATGCATCCTAACAGCCTCCTCTCTTAGGGAGAGTCTGCAGCCCGAATACTTACGCTGCCTGATTATCTGCAGCGCTTTGCATGAAGCATGAGGCCTGAAAAACACTTTGGATCCAGAAATGTTCCTACAGCTGTAAATCAACCCAGACCAGCGGTTACCCAACCTGTTATCCCATTGGGCAAATACTCAAGACTATAAATCACTTTACATACAAAACAAAACAAATGTTTTGAAAAGTTTCCCTATTTGTTTGATTTAGGCTAAAGAAAATGGAAACATTTATTTCCAGTTTATTCTAAAACTTTTCCTGCTTCAAGCAAAGTTTAATATAGCGATAAAAGCCTGCTTTTTAAAGGATAAACACATTGTTGCAGTTAAAATTCTCTATATTATTTGCCCTAATCCAAATCAAAGAGTTTCTATTTGCATCAATCAACCAGGGGGAAATCCGTATGATTTTTGACCGTAGTGCATGGAGGCACAGCATGCTACCAGTCTAGCTTTCAACCCAGTGGTCCAAAGTCCAGATCTTGAGAGCCTTTGCCGTGTGTCTTCTCCTTCACGCTTTCATTTTCTGTTTGTCTACAACTGGAGGCAAGTTCTGGAGCTGGTTGACAAG